GCGTTCTATAACGTTCACGGTAGGGTATACTGTGAGGAGGATTATCTGGTACGTAAGACAGTAATTGCGATGGACGCGTTAGTGATACGATGACGTAGCTCATAGAACGTTTCGTCCGCAGTACTCTGGCTTCCAACAAACCGCGGAGAAATGTGCAATCTGCGGTCACCTCATCATGGAAATGGTAATTAAGCGGTTGACGTTAACACATGTGGTACCGACAACTTGGATTGTATAATTTTAACAGGACACGTTACACCATCTCTCTTCTCTCTCTCTCTCTCTTGTATCACAGATATTACAGGCTATGGGGAAGTCTTATCATCCAGGGTGCTTTAGATGTTGCGTTTGTAACGAGTGTCTCGACGGTGTTCCCTTCACTGTTGACGTTGACAATAAAATTTACTGCGTTAACGACTATCACAGGATGTTCGCACCTAAGTGTGCCTCTTGTGGAAAAGGAATCACTCCTGTCGAAGTAAGTAGCGTTGCTATTAGCTGATTAAACTAAGAAGATGGCAAGGACTTGAGAATCTTCGTTCAGTTGGTTTGACGATTTTTACCTAATTTCTTAACTCTCTAAGTTAATTTTGATTTTCACTCGAAATGAGTAGCCTCCCAATTCGAAGTACAAAGTAGACTATTTTAACTGTGAAAACAATTTCTCGACGAGTTTAAGACACCCCGGAATTTAGAGGGTTGACCAAAATTCGTTCGAATTTTCCCACCGAGATTTAGAGGGTTGATCCAACCTTGCCATCTCTTTTTTAAGTAATTCGTCTGTTTGTCGTATGTAACTTTAAAAAATGGCACATCTTTCTCTCAGGGCACCGAAGAGACCGTAAGGGTTGTTTCCATGGACAAAGATTTCCACGTGGATTGTTACGTTTGCGAGGATTGTGGCATGCAATTGACCGACGAACCAGACAAACGATGCTACCCACTTGACGGTAGGCTGATGTGTCGTGCGTGCCACATCCAACGCATATCCCACACACAACCGAGGGCACCGCAGCCAGTATCAGCTAGCTATCAATTTATGGGATAAGTTAAGTTAAAATATATACATTTAAGTTTGAACATTTCGAAGTGAACTGCGCTCTCGCGTTATCGATCATCCGAAATAATGAAGATCGCGCGGAAAACAAATTACTACCGACTGAACACAAAAGAATAATACAGCCCGACCATATTATCGTAGGTGAAGAAAGAAACACTTGTCTGTCGATTAACAAAATAGAAATTCAATTATTCTAAGGTATCGATGTTTGCAATATACAATTTAATCAATGCGTACGAAATGAGATATATAGCTTTATTGTTCCTCTAAAACACGAGAGGTTTTAAGGTAACCTAAGCAAGACTGGATATTTACAGAATCGAAATACTTACACTGCCTCTTGGGATCACTTAGATAGTATTTTTTTTTTCTTTTTTTCTTTAGTCAGGTCGATGTTTGATCTTTCTAGCAATATATGTATGTATATGTATGTATATGACGATGATCCATGAGGAGGAAAAAAAGGATTTTCCATTGACAGCTACTAATATAGGTTAGCGGTATATTTAATATATGTGCTCTTATTTATTTTGTCCAAGGTACTACACACGCGAATGCAGTGGTCTCGTTAGGATGAACGAGTTGCGCAGGCAACTGTGATATATTAGCATAATAACTACATCGTCGTTAAGCAATGATTCCTTACTTTAGTTCGTGTATATATATATAATAATAATAATGTATGCACAATCGTGTTGCCAGGGCGTGTCCATCCTTTTTCTTGATCGGGAATTCCGGACGCGTCTCGACATGATGGTTTTAACGATAAACATGGCGTATCATTACCATACTCGATTGTAATCGCGTTTGCTAACAGTATTTATTACGACAATACATCATATATCGGTAACTAGTATCAAAAACTTACTCGGACGATACTCTTCACATTCATCGACGTTACTCAGGAATTTTTACTAAGTTTCGCAAAGAGAGAAAGGAAAAAGGACAAAAAAAGAAACAATTACACGGATCCTAAATGCTTTTGAAATAGTATGTAAAGTAAGATTTCGGTGCATCGACGGCGACGAACTACTTTTTACGATGCTACACAAACGCACATACAGAGTTTCGTGGTGCCAAAAGTGGAGAAAAGAATTCGCTACATCTCACGATTTAATCAATATTACTGCGTCTTTTTTTTTTGTTTTTTTTTTTTTTAGATAATATTTAAGCTGCGAGTATTGTAGATAAAAAGTACAATGTTATTTAAGTGTATGCAAGACGGTATGTAAGAGGAAAGATGACCGTTCAATAAAGAAGAGTATACCTGACCAATCGTAGCTCGTATCAGTCGATGTTTTTAATAGGATCTGTTTATGGGAGATAAAAGAAAAAACAGAAATGTTCACGTTGTTTCGTATAACATTACATACAAGGCTTTCTTTTATCTTTATTATAACGCAATAACGTTTACACATTTACAGGGAAAAAATGTACATTCACTCGATCGATGTATAGGTTTCGGTTCACGATAAAAGTGAAACTTCGTACGCAGATGAAAGTCAAAAAGGTTCTTATACTATACATCGCTACGTTTTTGGAGGTTCCGTTTGTCGTTCTACTTTGTATGTTGTTTTGTGTACTCCCGTTTTACTTGATTCTGTTGTCTAAAACAAAGAAAAAACGGTGTAGCTTATACGTTAGATATTTGAATATGTCGTGTTAAAAACCTTCAGTGGAAAAGAAGGATTAGGAGAGAGAACGAGAAAAAAACGTTTAAAGCAAATTTCTAATCTGTGATAGTAGAATGTAAACCTACACACAGTGTTGTATACAGACTACATCAAGAAGGCATGTAACATAAACAATTCAGATATCAGTTTCAATTAAACACTTTGGATCACAGTTTCAAACTTAAAGTATACTTTGTTGTAGTTATACCTTGTACATAATATCTGTCTCTTTACGAAATTGCAAGGGTTTTACAATTCGTGATTGTGGCAATGGTTTTACCAATCCTGATTTACTAAGCCTTCTGATAGCCATTGTTGTACACCCTATGCATTGTATACATATATATAGATTATTGATTGTTATTCATTTTTCTTATGTTCAACCATTAATTATCCTCATGTTTTGTTACCTATAGTGACAGTATATCTAAGAGGTGTAAAGATTTTGTAGAGGATATATGTTAATGTCCAGTTTCCAGCACTGGAGTTTCGTACCGTGTCTATGTACTTTTGATTGACATGCAAAAGTTCCATTATCCTTGCAATGTCCACTCCACTGAAAGAACAAAGGTTGCAGTACAAGTGTGATGATGATGCAACATATCGTGTAATATATTTACAGGGCTCACTTTGTGATTGTTACATAGAACAGACCAACCCAACCTAAAGATGTAACTACATGAACCGGTATTAAGACATGCCAATAATCCTTTGTCATCTGTTTCATTTTTTGAAATACTGATTGCTTTTTCACTGGTTCTGTTTTTGGTATCTCTCCTTTGGCACCGTTTGTGTTACAATAACGCGCCACCAATACGTTGTTATTGAATTTTTGCGTGAGTGGCACCTTTTGTGTTTTAATGTGATTAAGAAATGGAACATAATTGCACGATAAGTTTCTGTAATGTGGGTACCTTTCTGAAATCGACAAAATCGCGAATAATATCGGTTTGTCTGATCGTTGTGAAACACCGTGTCACGGTAATTTCACACGATATAACCTACCAAAAAGTTTAAATCTCCAATGCCTCGAATCTTCATATCGTATGAAACGCGTTGTCTCCAAGAAATTTTTCGTCCTCAACAACGGATTGAATCCTAGTCTCATGCCCCGGCAAAAAAACACGTCCATTTTCTAACCAATAAACTATGGCGTTCTTAAGTTGTTTTGTGTTACAATCGCCGTTTCCAGGTTCAAATCGTCGTGCCTCACGGAGTAATTAACCGGACCAAACTTACAGAACGATTTTCGTGTTTTGACGGTGTTGGCATACAACAATGTATGCAAAAATTGTGTAAAATATTCGAACAAAAACTCACATGTTTTCTTTATCATACACTTTAAAAGACTGTTTGGTAACTGAAAGAGAAACCAACTACATATATGCCATCTATCGAGATTTGCGTAATCAATGAATGGACGGCCATCATGTTTACACATATATTTTGTCAGGGAACTTCATTAACAACTGTTGGTCAATATATTTAGTACAGACAAGGAATAAAATAAGTTAATCTGTACGTTCGATATAATTATAGATGAATTTAATTATAAAACATAAGTTGTACAATAAATACATAAATATGATTCCTCTTTTGGCTTGAGTGGCGCAGTGTTAACACACGATACAGATATCTTACTATGTAGACTTTTGCTTCAATGTTTCAGACAGTATTTACATAAGACTGATCGTATGTACAGCGATTTTTCAACCTGTATTTGTGCATCAGTAAATGGAGATTTGCGCAGCAGTTAATACGAGTGGAAGAAGTAAGTACGAGCTGGTTTCTCGAGCGCCATTTTGGTACCAGTGGAAAAACAACGCTGAAACAAGTTAAAAAAAAAATAGTTGCAAGATGTTACTAGCGTATTGTGCCATAAAATATTTTACAGACACTAATCTGCTATTATTTTTACACTCACCTGTGTCGTCACGATTCGTGATCCAACCAACGACAGGTTCCATTTCGTTTTGTCGTCTCAGCCATTGATTTAAGGGCTCGAAGTACCTTAATATAGCACCAGCGTCCATTCTATTCGTTTTTCCTCTTGTCATTTGTCGTACAACGTCTTTCCAGGGTCTGGAGGAACCTATTGACAACACATCTCTAAAAAAAAAACAATAATAAAATACTGTGCTCATTATTTTTGTCATAATTAATTGTAGTATTATTTAAACGTACGATAGTAATCTCCCAGCTTCTCGTGATCTATAGAAATCACAGGTGTGTAGATCACCAGTGTGACCTGCTATTTCACACAAAGATTCGAACAATTGAAACTGCAAGACAATACCAACAAAGTATCTAAAAGTGGAGTTACACAATTTTTCAAATTAATTTTAATTCATTAATTTAGGAATTTTATTGAAAGAATTGTAATACTTGGCATAAAGAGCATCAGCTGGAATATGATACTTGGAGCCAGGATCGAAATCTCTCTCAGATCTTGGTACTGGAGGTACAATTCCCTGATACTGTAACCTCAACTCCCACCATTTGTTCGTCATGTCGGCAACTCCTTCGCTGAATACTTTCCATCTCCACTTTAAAAATAAAAATAAAAATAAGATGTATACGATATTTTAACGAAGAGAACGTGATTGTGAATGAAATGCACGAAGACCTCGTCAACAATATAAGCAAACGGCATGTAGGCAACTTTACGAAGCGCCATTAACATGAGGAAGTTGATGTCGCTTCCGTAATCATCGGTGGAATTGTCGTGTAATCCAATTTTACTTAAATGTTGAGGCGTGAAGACGGAAAGTTCGATGGCATCGCTGACTGCCTCGAAAAATCCTAATTCACCAGCAGAAAATTATTTTTCCATCCAATTGGAGAAATTTAATTATCACGGTGATAATAATTTTCGTCACCTGGAAGTGGCTCGTTTCGAAACAGCAACGGCTGATCCCTGTACTGCAAATAATACTGTAATCTAGCGATCTCGTGATGAGTCGACAGCAAATCCTCCATCGTCACTCTCGTACACTGTTTTATCCTATAAAATGAATCGATAAAATACAGCAGTTTATACTTGATAATTATAGGCACCTGTAGTCAATTCTGTTGCAAAAATCCCAAGCACTCGGAGTGCATTTTACTTCTCTGTCGATTGGTTTCTCGAACATGGAGAATCTCCAGAATTCTGGTGGCATAGGTTTCATTCCCAGAGAAGTGAAGAATTCTTCTGCTATTTGGAACATCCTTCAACATTTTCACATTTACACGTTTAACACTCGAGTAAATCAATTCGACAATCATCGTCATAAAATTACCTCAAAGGTGTGAAACTTTGAATCATCATGTCCAAAGTGACGTCGAGCCTCTTGCTAGCTGGAAATGGCAGAACTACGTCGAACAGATCCTCCCAATTCTGAGCCCACATGTTCCCCAAAATATGCGCCGGAAGTGGTCCGTCCCTTCTTATCTTATCACCGTATCTCTCGAACAATTTCGTCCTCACGTAGGTGAATAAATTTTTGTACAAATGCATCACTGCCGACATCACGTCTGCTGTATTTTGCTCGAAATATTCGTCCTCGAAGAGTTCCCTCATTTGATCACCAGCATCCTCGAAACCTGCAGACGATGTGGCATATTGAAAATAATCTTTCTGCGATTTTCTATCAGCATTTGTCTTTATTACCGTTTAATCTGGCAGCTTGATTAGCAAGTTGAATATATCTCATGTATTTATTCTTAAGTTGAGGACCAGTGGCCTCGTGCCAAGCGTGCCAATAATACAATAATTCGTCGTAGTCTTTCGATCGCGCCATTACTTTATTCACATCTGACAAACACGTGTACAATTATTCTTTATTCGTAATTTACTTATGGCAGATTATCGTGAACTAACCGTGATCCAAAGTTAAGTCACAATCGGTGCCTATCGTTCTGTAAGGACATAATCTCGTCCTCGCGTATATTTCTTTCATTTCGAGGATTATACTGTGCAACTAGAAAATAGGAATATTTTTTTGTCATCTTCGTTCGTTAAATAAAATGAAAGAAATTGAAAAAAAAAAAAATAGTATTTGAGTACCTCGTTAAATTTATCGTCTGTCAGGGAATTTCGACCTCTTATAGCGATCATCTTGAGTTCCTTTTTCGCAAAAGTATCTCCTATTCGACTCCAAGCGAAGCTGACAGCCTTTCGCCAGGATATTCGATCGAATTTTAACTTCAAAGCCTGTTCTTCTAACTAACGAAGCGAGAATTGGAAGAAAATTAATTTTTTTGAAGATTCGATACATTTTATAAGAAATTTTTTACGGTATCAGTGGTACCATTCTTCGACGATTGATTTCAGTCACGTTTGTCGCGAAATTCCATTGCGACGTCAATACTCTGGTGCACATTGCAGAGGCTGCACTGTCATATTCTCTGAGGAATTGCATAGCGTCTCCTAAGTTCACGTTCATACCCTAAATAAAAATTTCCAATAGGAGAAACTTCGATATCACTCGAAGTAAGACCATATTGTCCATGTAACACGGTGTGATTAAATTTGCAACAATTTTAAAGCACGTTTCTACTGGCCCGGATAGCGTGAGCACATAATTCAGGGGTAATTAGAATTTAAAACACGACTTTGACCTAATATCTTCCAGAGAATAGTAAGTCTCTCCTCAAGCGTATCGGGGCTGCTATCAAAGTGTACCATCTCCAAAATACCGTTAATGTGTTTTATAAACAACGTTCGTAATTCTACCATAATTCTACTCTATCTTCTTACCTCGAGATACTTGCTAAAATTCCTCTGCACCAGTGAACAGACAATTAAAACGCCGATCACTTTCCAAACGATCGTCATCTTCGTCACAATTGGAACGAATTTTCCAAAAAAAGAATCGGTCAAACAAATTGAGAAAGTCGTCGTCGTCGATCTTCCTCGAATCCTCCTTTCATTCTCATGGAAAATAGAATGCAATTGGAAAGTCAGGATGTTGATCAATCGGTTCTTCATGCACCACTGACCATACTATTCTTGCCATTTCAATGTCCGTCTTTTGTGTGATTCGAAAAAGTGGCAGCCTTTCATACAGAAATTGACGAAAAAGTACAAATTTTTCCTTCACAACGTGACGAGAGACTGATTTTCACTTCTCTTTGTAACTGGGTGTACCGACTTTCGAATCGATCGTGAAACGCGATCTGAAATTTTTCGATTTGCTTCGTGTAATGAAATAAAAACAAACGTTCACCAGCTTTTTCACGAACAGACGTTCGAAGTTTCGAATACAGAAGAGATCACGCGAAGAGTGTCTTCGAAGAGGGAAATTTTTCGACAGGTGGTGTTCGGGTTCACAGAATTGGCAGCTGATCGACCATTCGGTACGTCGATGTTGTCGTCGCAAAACTGAATCACCGCAGAAAGAGAGACATGGTCTTCCGGGACGGATATTCCACGGGCGAAAAGAGGAAGGGACAGGCATCGTCGGTGCGTGAAGCGTGACCACCCAACACACCGTGGCACACGCCAAAATCCTTCCATCTTCAACTCGATTCAGATTTCTTAATGCGTTTACAAGCCTCGCATGAGTGTAATGCAGCTCATTCAGGAGGAAGGGAATTCTCCTCTTTTTTTTTTTTCCAGTCGGAAATGCATCAAAGGAAAGTTCAATTCTTCTATGGTGTTGCATAAAATAATTCTACAATAACAGTGGCAAATTTGAAAATGCATTTTAGGATCGAGGTAAAAATTTGGATAAATTTAACCCTTTCACGATACTAAGGATCTCAATAAATTATTGTGTACGATACAGTCCATTATTTTTCTTGTAAAATTTTATTTGCAATTACATACTGTTTGTTAAATCTTAGGAATACTGTATGCATTGAAAAGTATAATATATTTTGCGTATAGATAAGAAAATTGCATTGAATTGAAAACCACTTTGTGCAGAATTCTCGGTGAAAGGGTGAAGACCACGGAATTTTTATTTTTATTTATATTCGAATGGTAAATCATTGAACAGGTATCTTTTTTTTAAATATCTTTTCAACGATACAATTTTTGTCGAGTATCGAGGTGAATTCTTCTCCTTTTGGACATTTCTTTTCTAACGATTAATATTTCACGGAAAGTACGAGTGTCATGGAAAGTGGACGATTGTTTCAAGCTTCCTTCGTCTTCTAGACAAGCACCGTAACTCCAATTATCCGGTGGCGTAACCAGTGACGGTACAGGGCTGAGTAATTTTTTTTACAGATATAATTGCATCCTCGTGTGTTCCAGCGAAGACATTTATGTCCAACCAGTGGAAACGATTTTAGAGATCGTTTTGCCAGGTCGAGGGAAACGTAGGTGGCTATTTTCAAAAAATTATCGGGTATATCGTGTCCGACACTTTCTTCACTCTACTCCTAAAATTGTGTCACATAGATCAATAAACTGAACTCGAGTAATTCAAGATTATTCTACATATAACTAACTGTCTTCGTTTAGGATGATCACTCGATTTCTTTCTAATCTGAATCTGCTTTCTGTACGCCTCGTATATTATTTTCTCGATATTCCTTCGTCTCTGCAACAATTTATACGTTCTCTGCAATGCCGCGTATTGTTCTTGCAATTCCACGAAATCTTGAATATCCGGTGCCTGAGAAAATTGTTCGACAATTTCCTAAGAAATTTCCGATTCTTTTAGAATAAGAAGAAAAATGAAAATTCACTATGTAATTGTCCATGAAATTCAATAAAGTTTCCAACTGCTTGCTCATCCGTTTTCTGTTCAGATTGACAGCGACGTGCTCGTCCTCCAATTCCTCGATCTGCTTCTGTTTCAACAAAATTTCCCTCTTCACGGCGTTCAACGTGAACAACAGATCGTTCAGCTTCTGCTTGTGTTGCGTCAATTTCAAATGGTAATGCCCTGTTGCACGGGAATACAATGAACAAGCTAATCTTCCGACAGATCTCCCTGTACTCACGTGGAATCAAGATCGATCACCTGCGATCTTCTTCATGTCGATCACGTAAACACTCTTCTCCTCGAGCATCTTTACGTAATCCTGATTCTCGATGTTCAGTTTCTCGAAATCGACAGCGTGAAGAGACTCGCCTAACTCCTCCCTCTGTGCAAGCTGCCTTCGAGCCTTTCTGATCTGCGTCCTCGCTGTAGCGCTCTTCAATCTAAGCCTCTCTATTATCGTGTTCGCCGATCTCAGCCAGTCCTCGAAGAATCTTCGCGAGAACGCGCGTGTGTAAAAGGTAGTCGCAACGATAAGGTAAATTTGTGTTTATTAGTTAATATAGAATTTGTGTATGTACACAATTTAGTTCGAACCGATGAAATTTCAAAGTTTTATGTCGAATTTGACAGAGTGAAGTTTAGCATTGGCGCCTAATTCATTTTTTTCCTACGGTTACTTTCAGGTTTACTGTATTTGAACTTTTATTGTATCAAATTGAGAAGAATTTCTTTAGGTTTCTAAGAATGCTGTTTTAATCGATGATATTTCTGGCTGATTTTACATTCTGAAATGTAATCACCTGGTGACACGTTCGGCGGGAATCTTGCCTGTGATAGGGTCCACGCCTTTGACAACCACTTCCTCCTCGAATTCCTCCTTCGTCTCGTGAGCCTCGTTGATCCGAATTTCGATTTCCTCAATCTCTGCCCTCATGATCTCTTCCCTCTTCCTGGCGAACTGTTTCAAGTGGTCCAGTTTCTTCTTCAGCTGCTCTAGCTCTTTCTTGGCCATCGCCATACGGTGCGCCATTGTGATTCTTGAGAGAATTGGCAAATGAAGAAATAGAAGTTCGGGAATTCGAGAGTTTGGACATTTTGAGAATTTGAGAGTTGGGACATTTTGAGAATCTCGAGAATTTGAGAGTTTGGACATTTTGAGAGTCGAAGATTTGAGAATTTGGACACTTTGAGAGTCGAAGATTTGAGAGTTTGGACACTTTGAGAGTCGAAGATTTGAGAGTTTGGATACTTTGAGAGTCGAAAATTTGAGAGTTTGGACATTTCGAGAGTCGAGAATTTGAGAGTTTAAACATTTCGAGAATTTACTTTCTTGCTACATTTTGACCAGAAATTAATTATGATTCTAAGATTTGCGTGAGAGGAAAACTCACAAAATAGCAAAATTCCGAGAATTTCACAACTTAGACATTTAATTTTCAAATAAAAATTAATTCTGCCCACTAACTTTGTAGCTTCCCCGTAAGTTCCAACTGTCAGGAGACTCGGTGTTCCAAATCGACTAAGAGAATGAAGGCTGCCTGCGCTAGATGCGGTAGCAATGCTATGTTTGCTTCCACCGCGAAGATTCGCAATACTCTCGCGGAAGCTCATACGCGATGATCTAGGTACCAAATGTCCTGTGACTCTCCTTGTAATCTTTGCTCTCTCCAGAATGTTTGTTATAGCTTCACAAAAATTTCCATTAATTCAGCTATATCGTATAATAACTCCATAAAAATTAATCCATATGAAACTTGTCAGTCCTATCCTCGCAAGATTCTTAGATCAATGTAAACGCTTTACTTCTGATGATCTGAGGATCCTGTCGGTTCAAGTAACGCTCGTACACGTCGTTCTCCAACGACAGCATCCAGATCTTCTGCAAAAGGTTGTCCTGCATTTGTTGCATCTCTTCCATGGTCATCACTGGAATCGAGGAAATTTTCGTTCACGTTAAATGCGGAAGAACGTTCGTTCGTAGAGTTTCGCTCGACATGCACCGTCGTAATTTATCTCGTCGTCGTGTTTCTGCATCCTTCTCGAACTTATGCTCTGTATGCTATCTCGTATCGACATTTTGCTCGATTATTCGTGTGTAAATTGGAAGAATCTGGGAGAGAGGAGCAGGGTTAGGTTTTTCTTATTTTCTCTTTTCTTCAGCCTGAATATCACGACACGATATTTTTCTCCTTTGCTACCTTCAAACGGTGATTTATTGGATCATGTACAAAGTGTGAGAAAAATTCGTGGCACGTGGAACAACGAGAACACGGTGTAAATGTGATTGTTAATCAGAAACTGAGCTACATCTTCTCGTCGTTTTTTAACAGTGTCTCTTTCTCGATCTCGACGTCGTTGATGAACAGAGAGTAAACGATTCCAATATCCTTTTGCCCAGAGCTGTAAGTTCTAATTGCCGCTGGTAGATCACCCACTGTGAACAGTATTTCTGCACCGTCGTCGGTGAATTCGTTCTGGAAAGAAAGTTACTTTTTAAAGGTACAATTATTTTTGACGAGATTAGAGAAACTGAAATTGATCGATACCTCTGTTTCAATTTGTTCTCCGTTCACCCAAACATTCTGTGTTTGTTTGTCTGCAAAGTAACACATTATGGACGTTTTTACATACACTGCCGGCCAAAAATTTGGAATCACCTGCCAATTTACGTCAATATTGAACCCGCTACTAATTCTTCATTGATTTGAAATTGATGTCGTGGAGATCAATGGCACTTTACCTCGTTTCGATTGATTTGAATGATAAAATGCTAACTCTTTTTTCGAGAGTTTTGATGCAACTTGCAATGCACAGTGATCCCAAACATTTGGCCGGTAGTGTATGTATTTTTCTTGAAAACTTAATAATTCACAATTACCCAAAACTATTCTATATTCTTCGCTTCCAACGTTGGCCAACCAGGTTTCTAAAATCTTCGACTGGGTTTGCACGAAGTTCTTGTAATTCTTTCCATTCACCCACAAAGTGTAAGAGTACTGTAAACCTACGTGAACTGTGACCTATAGTATTCGTTCGATTTGAAGGTGGGTCTTTTATTTGGGTGAAAAGTACTCACCTGCAATTGGATCGATTCTAATTACAAATTTAGTATCGTTGAAGGAGAACACTTCGTCACCGACCAAATGAAACATCCAGTCTCTGTGGATTAATTCTTTGCCATCTATCTTCACCAGTCGACGGCCTGTTGCAGTGCCGTGCTCGAATTCAATTATGTGATTTCCGTCGCTTAGAGGAACGTTCCATCTCGCTGTTGGTTCGTCTAGCGTCTCCAAATTGTGCAAGCTTCTGAAAGAATTTGGTTAAGAGGATCTGCAGTGTTCTACCTTGAACACGATCGTAGATTAAAATGAAAAATATCTGAACGAAATAACCGAACACAATCGTAAATTAAAATTACAATTAAATTGAAAATGAATTAATCTCATAAATTCAAATTCAAGTATCTGTATAAAATGAAAATAAATGCGCACAGTGGTAAATTGAAATTAAATTAGAAATGAATTAATCTCACAAATTAAAATTAAAAACTTTGCACTTGCAAGCTGAAGCTTCTTTTTTGGAAAGAAGAAGAGTATAGCTGTACTGTACTACAAACAAGCGGTACCAAAATTAGGCAGCACAGACAATACAGAAAGTTTCAGAGCAATCCAGTAATTAAATTGCGCTAAAATAATAGCAGAGTGACAATTGCTGTTTCATCGGAGCGATTGAAGGTAATGAAATTTTAACGAATGAAATTACATCGAGCGAGGGTTTCGTAATGGTACTTGTTTAAATGGCAGAATATCATACTGTTACATCATTGATATTATCGATCTACTTTCTGACCCCTTTCAATGCCTATTGCACTATTCAATAGATTCCTATGATTGTTGTATTATGCGATAGATTCGTATGGTTGTTGTATTACGCGATAGATCCCTATCTGCTATATTTTTCATGCAAAACGAAGATGTAGAAAATGATTGCAGCAGGTTGCTTTATTTTTCATGCAAATGAAACCACGTAAATTAGATTGTTTTATTGCGTTCTACTTACTTTAACAGTATAGCAGCCATGTTCCCTTGGTACTCGCTTTTACCTGCACCTGTTACTGGCCTCCTTATTGATCCAATTCACCGCGGCCTTTGTTCCAATCGATAATTTGTCTATTTAACGTCGCGGTACAATACAACATATGTAAATTGAATCTACTTTTCCAATGCACGTAAAGAAAAAATTGAAAAAAATCTACAAACTGTATCGAGTAATTGAACAAACCAGAAGTAACAATTTCTCAACCCTTTATTTCCTTTTACTGTACATAATATTGCAAAAGAAGTATTACAAATGAAACTGAATGAAATTTATAAACTATACTGGATAATTGAACAAATCAGAAGTAACAATTTCTTTACCCTTCGTTTCCCTTTGTTAGACGTAATATCACCACAGAAATATTACAGAATATTACAAATAAAATAGAAAAAAATTTATAAACTATGTTAAATAATGGAAGAAATCAGGAGTAACAATTTCACTACCCTTTATTTCCTTTCATTACACGCAATATTACAAAATTGTCACCGACAAACGATCTCAAGTGTACTTAAATTGGATCTGAAATAAAATCATTGGGCGAAAGCGGGCAACAATTTTCCAGAACACGGTCCAAATCCAATTCTATAGCCATCACCGACACAGTAACCTGGAAAAAAGCGACTTGTCAGTAAACTTCGCCTATAGCTATCTCCGACGTGAATTATTTAAACGAAAGTGAACGACTTTACCGCGAATAATCACTTCGTCACCATCTTGCAGGAACTTCCGGTTCGTGCCATCTTTTAACGGTACTGCTCGAGTGCCTTTCCAAGCGAGCTCAAGCATAGAACCATAAGAGTCAGCAGACTGAAACATAGGACAATTCGAAATAACATTACGCTGTTACGTTTAGATAGTAGACCAGTGAAAATAGCTGGTTTCGATGGATGTTAAACTTGGAACGCACCTCGCCACTTATCGTACCGGAAGCCATTAAGTCCCCGGGATTGATATTGCATCCGGTTACGGTGTGGTGAGCTAATTGTTGCCGCGGTGTCCAGTACTGGAATTTATAGTTGCTGCGACAAACAGTGCTAACTATACCGCTGGGAGCTGAAAAATATTTGAGAAAATCGTGTCGTTCCAGAATTGTATGTCGGAAAATTTTCGGAAACTTTTGGAAAGGTTCAATAATTGAATTATATTAAAATTTCTATTTCGCTGAAACGACGAAACGTTGATAGAATTGGTAAATGAAATTGTAGCCTATTAAGGTTTAATTATAGCGCAGGAGAAAATTTAAAAGTAAAACTTACGTTTGATATCCACTTCTAATTTAATATCAAAGTTACAAGATTCGCTGTGCTGTAAATACGGAAATGGGGTTGGATTTTGAGGTACATTAGGTACTTTGAATGGTTCTAAGGCTTCCATGGTGACTATCCATGGGGAAATTGTGGTTCCAAAATTTTTTGCACCAAATGGTCCCAATGGAACGTATTCCCATTTCTGTATATCCCTTGCTACAAGTGATTAATCATCATTTTCTTATTTATTTTTACAATTTCTTGGTTTGTTTAATTTTCTGGATTTATTTCAAAATTTTACCACTCCAATCGTTCATGGTGACCATTCCAAAAATGTGATCGTACGCTTTAGACGCTGGAACGGCTTCGCCTAAGTTCGTAGATGGTCCTCCAACGAAGAAAGCTACCTCAAGCTCGAAGTCCATCAATCTGGAAGGACCGTAAGCTGGATCTGCACCTTCTATGGGAAGTGTTTGCCCTCGTGGTCTTCTTATCGGCGTACCGGAAACCACGACCGAGCTTGCTCTTCCATGGTAAGCAACTGGTAAGTGTTTCCTGAAGGTATGTGAATTTTTTGAGAAAATTTTGCGACCGTCAATTTTTGGTGTACAATCAATTACCAATTTGGCATCAGAGCATTTTCCTTCCCACGAAACATTATTCCTACGTTTGTGGCGTGATTAATGGAGGAATAAAAATCGGTGTAGTCGCCAATTTTTGCCGGTAGATGCATCGTTGCCTCATTTTGATTTACAAATACGCTACAAAATGGAGTGAGAATGGAGTGTTTCTGGTTTAATTATAACGAGGATAGACAAGTTTTGTCTCACCTGGAGCGAAGTTTAGGCTCTTGCAAAGTAGGATTACTGGCAGACAGCAAGTCTTGGAGTTTATTTCTAGCTTCCAACCACGCAGGTCTTCCCAAAGCCATGAAATCGTTGAGACAATCACGACTGAAGACATCTTGACGATTTTTTAACAGTGGCCCGTCGAATAAATGGGAAATTGCTGATAAGTCTAAAATTTCATCGCCTATCGCTACTCCTATTCTCTTCTGCGGCTGGAAAGTTCGAAATTTACCTTGGTACAGTACCTTACCATCGTTGGATAATACAGTTTGACATTGGATACTATTTATGGATTAAAAAAGAAAAATTTCAGCCACTAATTTTTGTGTAAACATTCCTATAGTTTTCTAAAACTCTCAGTATACTTAATTTCGTTAAAAATTAATTAGAATAAATAGTAAGCTACACATATTACAGTTTAAACTTGAATAAATTGCTTCCAAAATGAGAAAATAAATAATTTTGTTCAATTCGATTAAAAGATTCGAAAATTCAGTGCAATTTAAAGTAAAATTTTAATAATAGTCATGAATACATTTGAATCTCGCGCCATTAATATTTACTGTTAGTGTTCATAGCGCCTATAGATGGCACTTTATCTACTTGAAATGAATATACGTATTTTATCTCTACAGGAAATGCATTCCCCTTTGAACTTGAACTACTATCAATTCACTTATTTCTATTTATAATGGTCATTATACTGACAAGTAATTACGATGAAAATTCGTCCCTAGATTCACATAACCTACAAACTACGATTCTAATCTGTTTTCGTTTACGATGTACTGTAATACAATATACTTACGTTATTGGGCGTAGAAAAGACACCGTAAGGAAGATTTTCGATTGGAAAATCACAATCTGGATAATACTCGACGAATGACTTCATGATCTTGAATGTTTTCAACGACTGAACTGAGAAATCGGTTGAAAACTGTTCACGACGATATATGATAATCTCATGGAGGCTCGTCAAGGTCAACCGGCCACTACGTGATAATTTATTCACTTGTTTACCGGCGAGCCTCCAGTCTGACTGGTTCCGAATTATTCTCACCTTGTTCTTCTCCCACTTTGATACGAAATACTGGATATTTAAGAATTAATGAACTACTTACTATGTTAAAGGAACTCTGGTATCTACATATTCATGTGCTTTGCTATTATATGTGGAGTAAGAACGTATCTTTCCGCTTGATGCACGTGTTATCGCTTTCAATCAGTTTATCTATTTATTCTCTCGTATTTTGTATCTTTAAGTACTTTAAGGAGTAAATTTGTTGCATGTTTTAATTTCGTTTTGAATTAACAGTCGTATGCAGTAGATTAGTTAGAAATTGTTTATAATTTTCGTAGAAAATTAAAAAATTAATGTTCCCTTTGTGTGATTTACTGACAGACCCTTCAGGAATAATGAAGAATTATTTATCAAACAGTTGATTATTTATTATTTAAGGGGTTACCCTTTAAAGTAAAAACAAAATTCATTGTAATTTTCTCCATTTTACAGTCTACAAAGGAGTGCCTTGAAACTTGAATACAAACATTGTTACAGTCTCTATTCTCGAATGCAACATCGATGGAAGCACTATTTCGAATGCAAAACAGTGTTGCACGCGTTACTTTTGAATGCAACAATGCTTGAAGCTTTATATTTGAATGCAAACATTGTGGGAATCTCTATTTCAGATTGCAACATTATTAGAAGCGTTATTTCGAACGCAAACATTATTACAAGCGCTACGCTTGAATGTAACATTGTTACAAGCGTCATTCTCGCTTGTAACAACGCTAACTCGTATTGTTTTCGAATGCACAATGTGGCAAACGTGTAATCGAGTTTGCAATATTGTTACCGCGTATTGCTCCCGAAAATTGCGCACTGCTGCCAAACGCGTTATCGGGTTTGCAACTTTGTTGCCGAGAGCTGCTCCCGAAAATTGCACATTGTTGCAAACGTGTTCTGGGTTTGCAACTTTGTTGTCTCGAAAATTTGCACATTGTTGCACGACGCGCCGTTTTGCAACTTTGTGCAATTTCGGGAGCGACTCACTGCAACAAAGTTGCAAGCGCGATCTCTCCGTTGTGCAACATTGTTGCTGCGAAACGCTCCTGAAAATTGCACATTGTTGCAAACGCGTGATCGGGTTTGCAACTTTGTTGTCGCGAAAATTGCACATTGTTGCACGACGCGCCGTTTTGCAACTATGTGCATCTTTCGGGAGGAACTTTCGGCAACAAAGTTGCAAGCGCGATCTCTCCGTTGTGCAACATTGTTGCTGCGAAACGCTCCCGAAAATTGCACATTGTTGCAAACGAGTTCTGGGTTTGCAACTTTGTTGTCTCGAAAATTTGCACATTGTTGCACGACGCGCCGTTTTGCAACTTTGTGCACTTTTCGGGAGCGTCTCACGACAACAAAGTTGCAAATGGGAGATCGCGCTTGCAACTTTGTTGCAGTGAATCGCTCCCGAAAAGTGCACAAAGTTGCAAAACGGCGCGTCGTGCAACAATGTGCAAATTTTCGAGACAACAAAGTTGCAAACCCAGAACGCGCTTGCAACATTGTGCAATTTTCGGGAGCGACTTGCGACAACAAAGTTGCAAGCCTAGAACACGTTTGCATCAATGTGCAATTTTCGGGAGCGATTCGCCGCAACAAAGTTGCATAACGGAGAGATCGCGCTTGCAACTTTGTTGCCGAAAGTCGCTCCCGAAAATTGCACAAAGTTGCAAAACGGCGCGTCGTGCAACAATGTGCAAATTTTCGCGACAACAAAGTTGCAAACCCAGAACGCGTTTGCAACATTGTGCAAATTTCGGGAGCGATTAATAATAGCGATTATAATACGAGTTAACGATGTTACAAGCGAGAACAACGCTTGTAACGATGTTATATTCAAGTGTAGTGCTTGTAATAATGTTTGCGTTGGAAATAACGCTTCTAATAATGTTGCAATCAGAAATAGAGATTCCAACAATGTTGGCGTTCAAATATAACGCTTCGAGCAATGTTGTATTCAAAAGTAACGCGTACAACAATGTTTTGCATACGAAATAGTGCTTCCATCGATGTTGCATTCGTGAATAAAGACTGCAACAATGTGTGCACTCAAGTTTCAAAGATGAATAGTGAAATAAAAGTATCTTGCTATTTAAAAATCACCGTTCAACAATATAAAAGTTCTTTTCCTGCTACTGCAACCGTGTCCCACACCTCGATCAATTTGCAACCTCAACTCACACGGGAACAAAGGCCCCGCGCAAACAAAACGTCATTATACATTCTCAACATATTTCTCCACCCCTATAAATAACCCCTCTACATAGTAGCATTGTTCTGCTCAGTCTGCCGTCAGCGTTCCAATAATTATAAGCTACCACCTAAACTGTTATTTAACAAGAAACACTAATAATTCTATAATTAAAGTACTCCAAAATACACCAGAAACTTTATTTTACAATCTACATTTCTAGTAACGTTAAAGCAATCAAGAATTGCTTATAAGTATCAATTAAATATAATAGTTCGCAGCTTAAACTTCATATTCATAGTCAGTTTTTCATTCCTTTAACATTACTAATAGTTTAGATAGTAAAATAAAGTCTCTGGTGTATTTTCTGGTACTTTAATTATAGAATAATTAGTGTTTCTTGTTAAATGACAGTTTAGATGGTAGTGTATAATTATTGGAAGTATTAAATTAATTGGTTATTTAAAAATAGCGCCAGAAAAACAAGGACTGAATAAAATGGCGACCGAGAGTAACACCATCTCGCGTTAGGTGACGCGAACTACGATTTCTTAATAGGAAAACATGATATAAACAGAGGTATTAGACAAGGAAAGCACTACTCTGCGAGAAGGACAGAGAGAGAACGCTTCCTATTGGTTGGCTGGCCGCCATGCTCCACCTATCAGGCCCTAGATCAAAGCGATCGATGAAAAATCAATTATAACTCAAAAATTAGGATGATTTTGTGAACTTTTAGAATTGAAGAACGAAGTGTGGACCTTCAGCAACTTTCACATATAAGTTTCAAGGCTGTAGGACCTTTCAATAATTAATTATTAACAATTATAGCACGTGATGTCGGGAACGGTACCGCTTGCCATCAAGTAACTTTACGGTTTTTCAATAATTTCATAGCCTCTTTCTGTATTCTCATCTAAATTGCTGTATGCATTTGAAAAGTAACTCCTTTAGCTACATTTTCATATAACTTTTATTAACATATTCGATTTAGTTTACGAGTTATTAAACATTACGCGAGAGATTCCCCTGTTCGTCGTCATCCAGTGTAAACAACTGTTATAAACAATTGCTAATATCTCCTAAACCGCATCAGATACGTATTCCGATGTTATTGTAGAATATAGTAAAAACTCTGTACTACATTCTCCATACCTGAAAGTACATAATCAATCATGCTTATTCACGAAAATGACGGAAATGTGTTACGCTTGAATACGACGTGTATAGTACTTACCCAAATAACGTTTAATATCTTGCAAATTACGAAAGATATGTTAATGAAGATGGAAGGAGAAAGAAGCTAAAGGAATAGTCTTTCGAATGAATATACAAAAGTGCATAAATTATTTGTATAAAGCTACGAAATTAACGAAAAACCAGAAGCATGCGCGGTATCGCTACCGACACTCTGCACAATAAATATTAATAACTAATTACTGAGAGAACCTACAGCTTTAAAACTTAGACGTGAAAGTTCCTGAAGGTCTACGGTACATTTTTCAGTACTAAAAGTTCACAAAATCATTCTAATTATTGAGTTATAAACGATTTTTCACCGGACCACGTGGCTGAGGCCCCGAGAGGCGGAGCATGGCGGCGCGCCAGCCAGTAGGAAGCGTTCTCTCTCTGTCCTTCTCGCACACTAGTGCTGTCTTTGTCTGATACCTCTGTTTATATCATGTTTTCCTATTAAGAAATCGTAGTTCGCGTCACCTAACGCGAGATGGCGTTACTATCGGTCGCCATTTTATTCAGTCCTTGTTTTTCTGGCGCTATTTTTAAATAACCAATTAATTTAATACTTCCTATAATTATAAAGTACCATCTAAACTGTTATTTAACAAGAAACGCTAATTATTCTATAATTAAAGTACTAGAAAATACACCAAAAACTTTATTTTACTATCTAAACTATTAGTAATGTTAAAGGAATGAAAAACTGATTATGAATATGAGGTTTAAGCTGTGTATTATACGCAATTATGCTCTGATTGACAATAACTATCATTAAAAGGGAAAAATTCAAAGAATTTCTATTGTAAAAATCAACTAACCTAATAATACTTCGTTCCTGACGATGCTCTCGACGATACTCTCGATCTTTCCGCTTTGAACGCTGCCGGCAGACTGATTGTGAGCCGAACAAACCCTCTGATCTTTCTTGGAACCCCAAATGGAACACTTCCAATGGAAAACTGCATGATTTCCAATGTCCCTCCGGTTGAAATACCATTCGACTTCAAGTATGGAGTCTTTGACAACGTTTTCAAGCCCCCATAACAATTATTATTTGTCACAGAACTTAACAGTGAACCATTACACGAATAAAAAAGAAAACAAAAAAACATCCTTACCGATGAAAATACCATAATATTATATATCGATGTGAAAAGGAGAAGAAGGTAATGAGTACAGTAAAGACAGAAAGTTTCACGTAACATGTATTGACAATTTTCAATGTTGGGATAACAGCAGTTTATTAGACATTGATATACAGTGGATAATAAGGTCAATTAGGTGAGTAGGTGGTACTTGTCGTACAACAAGATTCACGACGTGCCAGAAAAAAAAACGACGCTACAAACGTCGCGTACGTTCTTTTACAATTAGTCCATTTATTTCCTTTCGCTCGTCTCAATCGTCGGGAGAGTTTCGTATATTTCTTCTTTTTTTCGTTTTTACCTTTTTCTTTGCGCAC